GTATAGTGGGTGTCTGGTGTCAAGTTGGTGGACTCTGACTGTTAGTGCTTGTCATCTCTGGTCCAGGAGAAGTTCCATGGGTGGTATGGCTGATTCCTGATGGAGTGCAGCTGTTTGAGTTGTTCTATAGACTGAGAGGGTTCCCAGCAGTGCACTGCAGAGTACTCAGTCCAGACAGGCTAGCTGGGCAACCACTCTGTTGGAGATGGGCTTCCATGCACCTGAACTGTCTTGTCTCAATCTACTCTGTCCTGGCCACCATGCCTCAGCTCTGTAGCAAAGAACTGAGACCACACAGGCTATTGTTGCTTGCCTCAGTAGAGGGGCTTTGACTCCTCATACAGTGTTGGCCAGGGCTTGGATGCCATTGGTCGCCATTTTGGCCTTGGTTGCCATCGTCTGGGTGTGTATCCTGAACTTGAGTTTCCAGTCAAACCAGATCCCTAGCCATCGTGTGGCACCATTGAGTGGGGGGGGTTCAATCTCCTCTGCACCTGTTGGGGTTTGGATTATGCAGGAGGGATTGTTCCTCTTCCAGCTTTTGGAAAAGTGTTGGAGTTCTGTTTTGGCTAGATCAAAAGTGAGTCCTTCTCTGTGGCCCTATGCCAGCAGGTCTGCTGTGATGTTCTGCAGTTTCTTGGTGTTTTCTTCTAGGGACTTGCTGACAACTAGTTGGCAGATATCATCTGCATATCCAAAACGGCCTCTGCGGGCAATTGTTGGGCCAAGTTTGAAGATGGGCTCAATGTAGAGCATGAACAGGATTGGTGAGACCGGGGAGCCCTGGGGAAGGCCTGCTGGGATTGTGAAAGATGAGCTCTGGTGCCCATCCAGCCGTATGACTGCTGTTCGGCCTTGGGTGAAGCTTGCCACCCAGTGTAGCACTGTGGAGGGCCATCCTTGGTCCCTGAGGTGTTGTATTAGCCTCCCGGATAGGACTGCGTCAAATGCGCCTTTGACATCCCAAGTCATCATGGAGGCACTGAGGCTGTGGGCCCAGGCTTCTTCAATATCATGAACCAGTGCTGTTGCCAGGTCTGTGGTGGAGTGGCAGGGGAGAGCCCCAAATTGTTGGGGATGGAGAACTTTGTGTTTGATAGCTATCCAGGCCAACCTGCGAGCTATCAGATGTTCTAGGCCCTTGCCCAGGGTAGAGAGGAGGGCAATCAATCTGTATGAGCGAGGGTTGCTGTAATCCTTTTTTCCCGGTTTAGGAAGGGCGACCAGGAGTGCTTGCTGGAAGGAAGTAGGATGCCATCCAGTTGTGACGCAATGTGTGTACAGGGCTGAGATATGATGGCCCAAGGCAGGCCAGGCCTTTTTTAGGACTGCATTGGGTATCTCATCCTGGCCTGGTGTGCTGCTGTTGGCCTTGAAAATGGCCTGGTGTGCTTCTCCCACTGTGATAGGCGGAAAGGGGAGAGTGGAGGTTTCTGGATTGTCACTGCAGTCCATGGGAGTATCATCTGTACAGGCAGCTTTTTGGAGCAGGGTCTTCACCAAGAGCTTTGCTTTGGCCTCAGAGGTGGAGTGAGTTGTCTCATCTTCCTTGAGAGGAGGTGTTGGGAAGGAGCCCTGTGATCTGTTCCATTTGACTGCTCTGAAAACATCCTGGCTCTC